TATTTTTGCTCATTTAGCAACTTGTTTGCACGATTTACAGTATGGTTAGTTAAACGTTTTTTTTTTTTTTTGGAAACGGCCGAAAATTCATGCGCGCGCGGATGTCATCCATATAATCAAATCAACATGGCCTTATTTTACAATGCCAGTGCCTCTTGGCAAACACAGATTAAATGTTAAGTGCAGGTACATGACCCATGCCATTTATTTTACGTAACTTTTAACGTTGAAGTCAAACAATGACTAAGAAAAAATAACGGCTAATGGTCCATTCATTATGAAAACCATATGTTCCATTATATTAATTCCTATTACAAATATCAAACAAAACTGTATGTTACCAAATTACGTACACGAACATTGTTCGGTGGCAAAAAAATCCTAGTTTCGTCTGTTTAAAACGTAAGGCATAAGAACGGGAAACAATGCCTTGTGTTGTGCATATCTGTGACAATAGGAGTTCAACAGATATGATAACCGACCATCCCGTTTTGCCCTCACCCTTCAAGGCCTCAGCACTGACGATCATGATCATTCTCATCATCCTGGGGAACATCTTCAACATCTGTGTCCTTCTCTACAACAGTAATCTGAGGAACGTCACTGGAAGGTCTGTATTCTTCTTATAAACTTTCTCTCTTTTATAAATATTGTTTTTATGGTCAGGTAGTAATCATGACAAATCTTAACTGTCGTTAGAATGATTATTATTTATACTTATTTAGTCTCAAGTTATTTCAGGCTCTATGGCCCATTTTGACAAACGCATACACATAGACAAACACATCTAAAAATATCACTAAATACGGACAAAACACCATCATAATTTACAATGTACAGTAACTATTTGTTGCCCATACATTACCGTGGAATTCGAAGCAAGCAAGCGCTCAAAGACTTTGTGATCAAAAAAAGCATTATTTTTCATAATTTGTTCCAATTTTCATGGCATTATCATACATTGTCGATACCTAAATCTCCCAACTTCTCTATAGTATATATAGGTTGTTACTTCCTAAACGAGGAAGCCTACATGGCAGAGAACTGAGATCAAAGGACAACTTCACACAGTTTAGCTGCAGGACGTCTAGGTTCAAGAATAGTGTTTTACCTTTTATTGTTGAGCTGCTGAACCATTCTTGATAAATCTTAATGTGTATCATGCCCCAATTCAGCCATGTAAGGCTGCAATGGCGTGTGTGTTGTATATAATGAATACACCAGTTCATTCATTCAATCTATATTACAGCTTTATGGTGGCCCTGTCGTGTGCCGATCTTGGTCTGGGTCTATTCGGCCTACCCTTCATGGTGAGACCGGCTATGGAGGGGAGGTGGGTGTACAGCAAGGCCAGCTGTGACTTCTGTGGATTCATCAGCACAACTCTGATTATAACATCAGTGTTGCTTCTATTTGACCTGAGTGTGGACAGGTACATCTGGATAGCCAAGCCAGTCAAGCACTACAAAATCATGACAGAGAAGAGGTGTGGAGTCATGATTGGTTCGTCGTGGGTGGTAGCGGCCGTGTATTCTGCAACGCCCTTCTTCGGGTGGGGCTCGTTTGTCTACAACTACAAGATGTGCACGTGCACGCTGGGAATCTTCACGGACATTTACTTCGGAAGCGTCTTCTTTGTCATCTCTCTACCCCCGATATTTGTCATGTGTTTCCTGAATCTAATGATACTCCGAATAGCGAGAAAACAGTCTCGGACTATACGGCATTCTAACCAGGTACCTAGGACATTCCCTGTGACGTCATTCAAACCCGCAATGACTGTCGGGATAGTTGTGATAACATGTGTGGTCTCACTACTACCTTTAATTTGCTCTTACACTTACTCGATGTTTACAGAATATGACCTGCCAGCTGACTTGGTTTTTGCATTTACATTTTTGTTGATATCAAATAGCTTCTGGAACTGTATCATATACTCTTCAACTAACGCCAGCTTTAGACAAGGGGCAAAGAAGTTCGTTCTAAGGGTAAAGAAAATGTTTCATGACCTTGTTCACTCATCAGAGTGTTGAGGTAGCTTTCAAATTTGGATTTGTGTAAGCATAGACTAACGCAAACATGTCATAATCACGCACATTTGAAAGATGGTTGTTCAATATTTGTAGACTATTACGTTGCATGTATGCAATTAGTTCTGTGTAGAAAAATAAACACTGCAGAGCTGTTGTCGGTAGATGGCGTTGTTTAGCCATGGCGACTCTTGGAGGATGTTTGCCTTTTGCTGGTTATGTCTTTTATACACATAGCCGTCACAAGAGGCGTAGAAAGATCCATTGACCGAACCAGATATCTCCATTCACGGCCTGACGATCAGTTTTCTGCCTGTCTCTTGATTTCCCACATTCTTAACTCACGGTCGGGGATCTTCAAATCCCCCTGAATACTCCATAACGCGACCTACTTGTGGCAAATCGTGTGCTTCACAGAACCAGGCCTCCATGTTGTTTACATGTTCAGTGATGCCTTCAGAGTAAAAGTAGCGTCGACGTCCACTTTGCGGCAAAATTAACGCAAACGGTCATTGCCATAGCATCACAATTTCCCCTCAATATAGAAAAATGTTAGCATGAAAGTTCATTTGAGTTGGTAAATTACATTATGAAAAATTTTTCTCCAACTCGAAATTTGACTCACCAGAAATTTTCGACTGAATCACTCAGTCTTCCTCAGCTATATCTGACCCAAATAGCAAAATGTTATTATATTCATCGGAGAATTCTTTTATGGAAAAATTCTTTTTGAATCCAGGGAGAGGAAATACTATTCTAAAGCCTACTTTACAGCTGATAATCACTATCAGAGCAAATGTACGTTCAATATTGTATCACGGTATCACTAAGCACCAGGTAGCTAAACATTTGCCATTCAACAGTCATCTCTAGAAGTATTGACCCGACACTGAGTTATAAATAGCGAGTGCAAAGAAAGATCTATTATATCTGACATGTCCATGACATGGAAACATCCATCTTTTCAACGAGACGACAAGTTTTCAAATCCCATCTTGTTTTTCTCCCAGCAGTGGTGTATATTTGCAGTACTAGTCGATCTCTATGACGTCCTAGGATGTAGATTGTATCTTGCTAAGGGCGCCACAGCGTCCATTTCGGAGAAAATTCTGAAACGCAATTTGGTTTTCCGTCACCTCTTGACACCCCTGCTCTGTGTAAGGTTCACAGATACCCATATTTCAGCAGGATGGTACCCAGGGTCCTGACAAATTTCTAGTACGAAATCTGGTAGTGATACGATGGTATGTGATTTATCTGGTATATGTGGTATGAGCAGGTTGGATCAATTTTGGATGTTTAACCATATTTGCTGGACTGAAAATGGATTTTCTGGGAATATGACTCTAAACCAGATCATGCTTCATTGAAAGGGAAACGAAGTAATATCGTATGGACAAAATAGAAATATTTTATACATGGCAGAGAGAAAACGTAAGAGATCTAGAGAATGAATGAATGAACGAATGAATGAAGTCTGAGAGACTAAATGAAAGGTGAATGAGGGAATAGATTAGTGAGAGAGCTAAAAAGTTATAATAATTGAAATAATGATTTTCATCGATAATCGAAAGGCAAACTGAAATTCATAACTTATAGTCCTATAACGGTACCGTATCACTTAACAACCATAAATTCACCGCTGCGCCAATATTTACAACATAAGTCATTGACGCAGTGCTAATAAGTAATAAGGCCACAGCAAGTAAATGTTATGGATGACATCCTCCACAGATTCCAAATCTAATGCGAGCGGGCGAAAGAAAAAACAAGGCGGGCCGAAAAAAACAAGGTTCTTACATTTTGAAATTTTGACTCAATCAGTGTACAAATGGTTTTGATTCAATGGTAACATCACATATCACTGCATCAAAGTAAGAAACAAAACATAAAATCAGAGCCCTGTCTTGTCTCCTCTCTTTATAGTTATCTGCCATCCACCTTCCGGCATGGCAACAGACATCTTGGCCTATTTTCGCCATGGTGACCACTGTCAGAAGGCAACAAAATTTCTTGTTTTTTTTTCCAAAATCAGGCGAAAATTAATGCGCGCGCTGATGTCATCTATAAAAATTACTTGCTGTGGCCTAAGTAGATGTTATTATGGTAAAGCGATTAGCGAGAAAGCGTTATTATGTGATTTTGTTATGTACACATACATGTAAAGCCGCTCAGCAAACAGTGCAAAATGCCTGATGACGTTATCTACTGAGAACACCTGGAATTGACAACACCTATCGCAAGCTTAAGAAAACATGGCGCAAGTAAATTCAACATCAAATATCGCTTTGCGTCTTCCATTGCCGGCCGACTATGTAGCAGTCGCCTCTAGGGTGTACTTGTGTTATCGGAGAACTAGAGAAGGTATGCCTAATGTCTGAGGTCACACTTCCCCTAACCCTAGCCTAAGTCTGAGATTTTGAGCAACCCGAGGCCACAGCCTTTGCTGTTTTACCTTGGATGTATGGCAATCGACCTAAACGGTCGAGAAGGGGCACGATAATTCAGTACTTTGCTTGTCTGAGCTTAAGGGAAAGTAAATAATGATAAAACGTTTTGATGAATACTTGTGATCTAATCTGTTCCTCCGGACGAGATGCAGACCAATTGAGATGAATGTAGGTCAAACGTGAACGTCACCGCTGACAACCACATGATAAGGATGTGTTACGTCATATACGGCAGAGCTCTTAACATAAAAGCTTCGCCTTGAGCACCGTCACATGGCTACCATCAGTCATAAACACATCCTGGCTGTATCCATCCGTGTGGTCAACTATAATGAGGTTCTATCAGTGACACAGCGGGGCGAAGTCAGCTTCCCGGCAATCTTTTCAAGACTTACCGACTGCGAAGCGTGAGAATGAGCTTCCCCTGACCGAACATATCCAGCAACACGACGTTACACTGAGCTACAGGAGACTCTTACGTACAGCCTTCAAGATATGCTATCTGTTTTCTGAAGAGCCAGTCTTTGTATTTGTTTTACTATCGAGTAGAGCGGACACTTCGTCACTCTTCCCTAATAGTGTGTTTAGTTCCCTCTCTTATCTTCCGGAAGTTTCCGACCTTTGAGTCAGAGGTCTATTTTTGTTCAGTCGGGAAGTCGGTCGTGTGACAACGCTGAACAGCATAGTGCCAGAGACTGACAAGCTAGGCCAAGAGCGTGCGCAGAGCTGCAACCTGTAGGAAGAACAGGGAGAATTTTCCAATTTCCTTCTTCGCGGCGGGCGGCTGCCTTTACCCAACAGCTGTCGAAGACCTTAGGATCAGTCGCTCGCGGTTTTATTTGAAGAAATCCTACGAGAACACCAAACTCCAAAGTCATGAACGATTCAGCGGACGGCAACAATGACGATTTTTACCGCGCGGGAGCCTCGCCCTACAAGGCGGTACTGATGGGCATCATCAGCGGGCTGATCATCCTCGGGAACATCTTCAACATCGCCGTCATTCTCTACAACGAGAACCTTAGGACGGTGTCTGGCAGGTAAGACATAGTTTGGAAAGGATTCAGATACTTGTGATGCCTTTAAGTGTGTGTGCGTCTTTCTCTCTCTCTCTCTCTCTCTCTCTCTCTCTCTCTCTCTCTGTGTGTGTATGTGTGTGTGTGCGTGCGTGCGTGCGTGTGTGTGTGTGTGTGTGTGCGTGCGTGTGTGTGTGTGTCCCTCTTTCTTTCTCTCTCTCTCTCTCTCTCTCTGTGTGTTTGTGTGTGTGTTTGTCTGCCTGTGTGTCTGTGTGTAGAATGCGTGCATGTGACCTGGCCAGACAACAGCACGCAACAATCATCCTATAGCTAAGCTAAATGCATATGATTCCATGTTTCAACAATGTCATGTAATTATCAGCGAGGGTAACGTCGTTAACAATGTCAGTGATTCAATAGTAGAAGTCACGGATTGTAAAGCCAAAGATTATTTGATTGAAAGATAGCTGCGTTCCATTTTCTTCCGCGGTCTAGGTTTGTGATGTATATCTCATGAATACAAATTGACTCATTCATCTGTTGGAAATTTTCAAAAAGCTATATTTTGTTGCATTGGTTCGTAATGGGCTGTTATTTACGTACACATGCTACTGCTATTATATGATTTCGCTTAGCATGGCTACGAACAAAGTCAAGAATTGCTCGTTTGGTTTTCTTTCATCTCTGTGAGAGTGATTGAGAAACTTAACGATTGTATAATCATTGTGTTGTCTATTTGCTATGAGAATGCTCTGTTTTTACCGTCTAGCTCTAGGTACTTTCAATGTATAATTTCCACACAAGTAGTATCTATTTTATGTGTCTGTTCTGCGTCATTGGTGCCCAAGTACAAGATGTAGACATAGCTAAGTACTAAGAACGGTGGTGATAAAATCTTTTACATGGCTTCCCTGAGTGCCCAGTAACGATCGGTATCTGAAAAGGGCGCAAATGGCTATCACTGAAATTGGGACTTCAAAGTGGCACACAGCTCACAAAGTCTCCCTTAAGACCGTTTTAATGTTTCGCACATGGTAAGAGACACGTTGAGGCCATGCCACAGTTTGCTTTGGGTCTGTTTGGATTCAAGACCGCTTTTAGCTTCGATCGTGACTAAAATGGCAAGCTAAAGCCCTCAAGATTGTATTGCAAGAAAGTATTGTGTGTCCTGTTCTCATGCCCTATGGCTATTGAACAAAATGAGAAGCTAATTGTTTTCCAGACTGTTTCCTAACTTCTTTGTGAATATACAGCCATTGTAGTCTAAACGTTATATGATTTATATTGATAAAATGACCAAATCATAGTATGCCACGAATAAATGGGGCTCTTTCGTCATTCATATTTACTACCTTTACATAACCCAACGCCATTGAATTGTAAATCACGGCCGAATCGATTACAAAAGGTTTAAAAAAGCAGTCCCTGTTCGCGACCTCTCGCCCGGTTCATAGCAATAAGTGTAGATCACAGGACTATCTACGGCTTATCTAACGTGTGCTTCATCTCTCCGTAGTTTTATGGTGGCCCTGGCCAGCGCCGATCTCGGTCTTGGCATCTTCGTGGTCCCGTTTACCGTCCAGACTACCCTGGAGGGCGTGTGGACCTACCCGGATAGAGTGTGCCAGTATGTCGGCTTCATGTCTTCAACCTTCACCCTCTCATCGATCTTCCTCCTCATGGACCTCAGCATCGACAGATATGTTTCCATCGCCAAGCCTATAGAATACTACAGCGTAATGACCAACCGTAAATGCATATTTATGATCCTCAAGTCTTGGCTGGCAGCCTCTGTGTACTCTATGGGACCTTTTCTAGGCTGGGGGCGTTACGGGTACAGCTATAAGATGTACATCTGCACACTTGACATCTTCTCTAACACTTCGTTTGGCATAGTTGTGTTTGTCCTTGTTATTCCACCCTTCATTATCATGTTTATTCTCAACATTAAAATTTTCATCATCGCTAGAAATCACGCTAAGCAGCTTTACCATATCCGAGGTAGTCAGGGCCAGGTCACTAACCATTACCCCATTACTGCCATCAAAGCAGCCAAAACAGTTGCCATCGTCATCGCGACATTTGCTATATCGTGGATCCCTATGGTTACTGCATACGCCTACAGTGTGTTTGCCAACCACCGTCTGGCACCTAACCTATCCTTCTCCTTCATGTATCTCGCTGTTGCCAACAGTTTCTGGAATTGTGTCATCTACTCCACAACAAACTTGAAGTTTCGCCTAGGAGCTCGCAAGCTCGTCCTAAAAATCAAGAAGAAAATGTTTCCTAGAACATCTTCTGTTCAGAACTTGAAAATAGAACGGTCCATCACCATGTACTCTATATCAACAGTGTAGAAATATTACTGTTATTGTACGCAGTTCGTCTCAAAACTAAATATGTATATTACCAGTGACTAATCATACCCTACTATAATGTGGGAAAAGTACCATTTCCAGGTAACAGAATAGTCATCGTAAAATTTCCGAAGCTTCTTGCAAAAATGATGTAAAGCAGTGAGTGTCTATTCTGATATCATATAATTTGTAGTAGAATTAGTATTGCGAAAAGAAAAACACATAATATAGAAATTAAGTGTGTGTCAAGCTGATTGCAGCAAAGGCTCAGTAATGCAGCTAATTATTTACACGTTCAACCATCATTCGCAGGAAAAAAAATCAAACATATACCCATTAACATCACGCTAACGCCATGTTTTCCATCGGTAATGGTTTTATGATAATGAGCAATGGCAATCATTAGTTCCACTAGTAAATAGTGCGTGTAATGCTTTGTAAACTGTATACATTATTCGTCTTCTAAAATGAATCAAAAGTATAAAGGTGACAATGTAAATGTGATGTTATTTAATATTAATGCAATCATTCGAATGTATATATATATGTGAAATATGTACAGACATTCAATATCCAATACCACTGTCGTATATTGTGAGGGAACGATTGCCCAATCGCTATCGAGTATGTTAATTAAAAACCCAAAACATTAATAACGTGTGTCAGCTAATGTATACAACAAATGATATTGATTGTTACGATTGCTCATACTAGATATTGTTACGTAATGGTCCGGTGTTGTCTGTCATTGGGTGTAGTAAACTAATTGTTGTAGAATAAAGTTTGACAAAAAATCCACATTAGTGTCCATACATAAATTTTGGCTTGCTTAGTCTTTACCTCTTCTACTCTATCAGAACAAAGCGATCGACTTACATTGTTTTCGTTTTCAATTGAAATAGCCACATAACATGTAGAGAATTCACTTGTATATAAGAACCAAAAACACTAAAGTAGAAACTTTGTTCAAATCAAACCCATGTGATCTTTAGCATCAACATCTTATATATAACATGTTAAAAGTAGCACAAAGTTGTTTGCACAGAAATCTCCCGATAACTAATAAATGATTCAATCACATGCTATCACTGCTTGTGGATGTTAAAAAACCTCAACATGTTAGGGTAAAATATGACAAAAACTAGAGAAGTAACATTTGCAAAGCAAATGCATAATATTTACCTTCAGACATGGTCTGCCCTGTTAATTTTTACTCAAACACATTCATATACATGTACTGCTAGTGTATGGTGACAGGAGCAGAGCAGACCATGAAATTGCAACATTATGTAACCCAACACCAGTCACCATGGTGACAGACGTCAACAAATAATGTCATTGGCCAGGTCAGAGGTTAGTGTTTGGAACAGAAGAGGAGGAGGAAAAAAGTGAGTAAAAACAATATGTTTTCCTTCGGTAAACACAATAAACCTCTTTCAACAGTTCACTACGACACAACCCCGCTAGGAAGAAAAATATAGGAGCCAAAAGACGTATTGAATTGAATGTAAAGTATTGATTTGACGTCTATAAATATCAGATAGGATGTGCCCTGCCCGCTGCAGTTGGTTAGTCCCTTAACGACGATATACTGCCGTGTGTTATTCCCGTCTACTCATGGCCAGGCTGTTAACTCACATTGACCGGATGAGGCCAATTGCAATATCGGAAAAGTCCAGGGCGTGGCGATGTAGGAACTAACTCTCTTTATTCTCTTTATTCCGATACCATTGAGCCAAAAAGCTAATCTTCCAGGTTTCATTCGAAAAAAATACACACAACAAATAGCATTGTTAAAACACACACATAAAACACAAAAGAGATTTACACTATATACAAATAAAGGGAAGTTAAGCTACAAACTAACACACACATAAAACACAAAAGAGATTTACACTATATACAAATAAAGGGAAGTTAAGCTACAAACTAATCACAGAAGTCACACTGTATGGTTGGCGGATAGTTTTCTTGAAGTTAGATGTGCTGATAAGTGTTTTGATTTGTAATGGTAATTTGTTCTAGAGGTAAATTGCCCTGTACTGAAAGGTTTTCTTTTTGCTGTTTGTTTTCGGCTTTGGTTGCCTAAAACTGTTAGAAGTTGAGAATCTGGTTGAATACTTGTGAAGTATAAGGCATATATCGTGAGATATGCTTTCATCACAAATAGGTTAATAGAAGTAGATTTTCTAATAAAAATACATTGCATGATCTTTCAGTCCTCCGAGAATGTAAACCAGTGTGTCCGATACTTCTGAAAGAAAATGGCTTTTTATATCTATTTTTGAAATCTATACAATGTCATGATACAGAAGAAGGAATGTTCAAACGCTTCATTAGCCTTCGCTAATAGGCTTTTTTTTATCAAGAATAAAATGTGCCACCTATTGGGACTTAGAGAACACACAGAGTAAAACATGTTCTTTGATCTTAACGCAATGCATCTGATCAAAGCGTAGTCAATGAATCACACCCCCTTCTGTAAGAGGTACTTAATTAACCATCAGCTCATTAGCTGTGGCGTTCCTGGTACAGGAGTAAATTGGAAACCAGTCTTCGCGGATGGCCAATTTGAGAGTCATCAAACGACTCGTCATTGGCTATTATTAACGGTTGCTAAATCTGGATGTTGGGATCGCTCAATGACAGAGTTTGTGATTTGGTTGAGTTCGGTACGCTTCCATAGCCTCAATGTGGGAGCAAGAGTTCAACCATAACTATAGTATGTACCATCCTTTCCTGAATGTGTTGGTATTATAAACTGGCAAAGAAAACATCGACAAAAAATCGATTATTTCAGGCTTCCAGTAATTACGCAAATATGCAGTTCCCGGCTTCCTAAATTCCCCCATGTCAATTCCTGTAATTCCTGCCAGATTCTGAGATCTTGAGCCTCATCTCATTCTGCCTGTCAATCTTCCCTTCCCACGTGCTTTCAACCCACTCTATCAGGGCAAACTGATACACAAACCCACAGATCATTCCCCCCTCAAAAAAATACCTCCAGATTCCAATGTAACAAAAATAAGGATTGGTGAAATTTGGACCTCTTTTAACTAAATATTTGCCGAATGAAAAAAAAATCTGACGGTGAACTAGGTGACAGATGAAGGAAGCAATGATCGACCTTTTCCCGTACTAACCGCGAGGTACATGGTGGGACACGTTTATCAGTCTTTTTCTTCGTGTTTTATGAATCCCATTCCAGCGGATCCTTGGTGAACCTCGACTAATGGAACCATTTACCACGCTGCACCTCAGCATAAGACCTTCATCATCCATGAATTAAAATGAAGCGCACGAATAAGCCCGTTCCACTGTGTCAGGTATCCTTTATAATTCAACAATAACCCGGGAGTACATCTATTCTGTCTTAAACAGAAAACTGATGCAGAGAAGAACACTATCCTGAGGTGCAAGTCTGAACACAAGATCCTGAAATGTATATTAACATCATCAAGCAATGAAACAAGATTGAATTACAATTGCCAACACAAAAATTTGGACTCACCTAAATTTTCGACTGTACAACTCCAGTCTTTGTCAAGGAGTGAGCAATTGCAGTTCAATCTTGTTTCATGAGGACTTCTACCAACACAGATTAACTTTCAAGATATCATCAAGCAATTATGATATCCATTCACTACACCAAACCTCTTTAAGCACACTTAATAATGCATAAAGGCTCCTTACCTGTACCTTTACGCGTACTTTAAGACGTGCTTAAAGACAGGGGTATTGCAAAGAAACAAAGGAACATGTTTAGACATAATTGAGAGACAGTCCTGTCATCATGAAACGTTTACAGCTTCTTGACCAAAGATTTGGACATTGTCAAAGTGCCCTGTACGGCGTGAAGGATTAGGTGTGCGCTGACCTTCCTGATCCTAGACCCTGATAGATGGCCGTGACTCCTGACCACCATCACTGCATCATCTAAATTTTTCAGGCTGGAATGGCGCTGCCATTACGGTCACGTTTCACGGGTGCTACATCACACAGACTGCAACCTGAAGCGGAAACGTAGATGAGCCCCCCTTTTTTTCGCGCCATTTAATCCGAATTCTTACCTCCCACCGACAAAGGTAAATGGGATTCGATTTGCTCTGCGTACCTTAGATTGCAGCTTACAAATCTGTCTTCAGTTCTTGGAATCTAAAGCTAAATGGTGATTTGTATGAAATATGGACTGTGGTTTGAAATAGCAGAAGGCATCATGGTAGAGTACTCTTGAAATAGCCAGGAGGTGCATGTTTTCGTCTTTCATCATAAATGTACAGTTCGAAGAAGGCAAATATACACAAAGGATGGTGAAGTTTGTTGACTGCACTTTAAAAAGTATGCTTGAATTTTACAATTCATTTGTGCTGCTTACTGAC